ACATAACGCTGTAGAAAAAAAATAAAAAAACAGCAGTGGGTTTTATACTTGATCTCCGAGTCGAATACCAATCTCTTGGATTTACCTTCCCAAATTCATAACATTTCCGTCATACCCAAAGGTTAGAAAACGTTCCTTCCAAACAGAGATTCTTTTTTTTTTTTAACTATACTTAATTGACTTCGGTTTGATACTGAACAGAAATTCCAGCCTTTATATAGATTCCTAATAACTTTGTCATCAAATTAAATAGGCGCAGCCAACCAGAATTTCCGATTTTTGTTTGACAAGTTCTTGCTCACAGCTGTCTCAGCATCTTGAGATTCTACTCTTTCTTTTAGCTGATTATTTGTTTTACTTGTAGATGAAAATAACTTTACTGTGACATCTGCATTTAGAACATTGAACTTTCTTTCGAGGTTATAGAGGAATAAGTCGATTAGCTGTGTGAAACACCTATACCCGCCCACCCGTAAATGCATCCCAAAACAATGCGGTCTGTAAAAGCAAATACGCATACAGCGCCAGTTGTACAGTTCGAAAAATATGTGTACAGAGATACTCAGCTAGCATCGCAATTCGACGCACGAGGCCGCCAAGACCGACCAGCATTACAGTCGTCTCGTGTTGTTCGTGGTCCTGTAAAAATGTGTTCCTCCTCCTCCCCCCTCCCCCTTCTTTTGTCCCCTTTTTCTTTTTTTCTTTTTCTTTCAGATGAGCGTTTTTAGTTGTCATCCCGAAACGACAACCTTTTCTTATGAAAACCCCGGTAACATTTATTTACCCTTACACGTTAACTTTCAGAAAGCTTTCCCGACTGCCTTGCATCTTTCTGAAGTTTCTCTACACGAGTTACAAAAATCTTGTTGGATGCGTGCTCGCCCTGAGGTTCGTGTTTGATGCCTTGGTTCGTCTTTATCGTATTGTAGTGTACCTTTCTTTCTTCCTTCTTTTCTCGCGTTCCATAGCATTCCGTGCGCTGGCGCTTAATGCGCGTTATTTTCAAGGTCCACTTGACATGCGACGCTGCACTCAGACCGAGTTTGGAGGGCACAGTCCGAAGCGGAGGAAGGGAAATTGTTTATTTGTCGTTGGTGTTTTTGTTTTTCTTTGTTCTCTTGTTTTGTTTTTTTGTGGACATGTGTGTGCGGAAATGAGTGGTGAGTTCGTGACTGGCGATTAAAAGAGAGCACTGACCAGAATGGTTCGTTGAACAGAGTCTACTTGAAAAGGGAGGGGGGGCAGCTGAAATAAGATTTTGACAAAAACGACTTGCTTGTATGCCTCGTCTTCCTAAAATGAAGAACAAAAACCATCAAAAATAACGGGAAGTTGGGATAAAAAAAAGGAACAAAAAGATTGGAGCGGGCAACTTGAAGAGCGGGTAATGGCGTTCTTTTGTTGGACGTTTGTGAAACTCAATTACTACAATACCGATTGCTCGCGTTTCGTTTGTTCCACGCGGTGTTCGAGTTTGTTCGCGTGTGTATATGAGTGCGTAAGTGTGTATGTATGTACGTGTGCCGTAACTAGAAACAAAAAATGAAAGACGTTTTCAATCCCTTGTAACGCCGAATTAGAGCGCAGCTCTTGAGGAGGAGGAGGGGAAAGAGCAAAGAGGAGGGTATGCCCTTTTCCTCATCCGTAATCTCCTCTCCTGCTTCTTTCTATTTAGCGGAAAATTTTCCGCTAAATTTACGGAAAAAATTCCTCGCTAAATTTAGCTGCGAAATTTTTCCGCTAAATTTAGAAAGGAATTTTCGCGCCAAATTTAGCGGGGAGTTTCTTCCGCAAAATTTAGTGGGGAATTTTCCCGCTAAATGTAGCAGGAAAACTTTTCTACTAAATTTAGCGGGGAAATTTTTCCGCTAAATTAAGTGGGGAACTTTTCCCGCTAAACTTAGTGGGGAAAATTTTCCGCTAAATTTAACGGGAAATCTTTCCAGCTAAACTTAGCGGGGAATTTTTTCCGCTAATTTTAGCGGGGAAACTTTCCGCTGAATCCAGCGTGAAAATGTTTTCGCTAGATTTAGCGGGGAATTTTTGCCGCTAAATTTAGCAGGGAAAATTTTCCGCTAATTTTAAAGCGGAAGTTTTTACGCTAAATTTTGCTGGGAACTTTTTTTGCTAAATTTAACGGGAAATCTTTCCAGCTAAACTCAGCTTGGAAATTTTTCTACTAAATTTAGCGGAGAAATTTACCCATAATGTAACGCGCGGTGACGTCACGAGTGACGTCATTATGGGAAACGTCCCATAAAGCAACGCGCTGTTACGCCCACGCCGACCCCGACGGCGACGCCGCTGAAGCCGGAAACGGGCGCCTAGGAGGTGCGCTTAAAATACGTAAGACGTTTACAAATCTCTGCAATGCAAAATTAGAGCGCAGCTCTTGAGAAGGAAAAGAGGAGGGTACGGAGGGGCGGGTATGCCCCTCCTCCTCTTCACTTGCTCCTACTTCCTCCTCCTCCCACCCCTCCTCCCGTCCTCATCCTCCTCACTTCCCTTCCTCCTCTCCTCCTCCACCCCTCCCTCCTCCTGCGTACCCTCCCCTCCTCCTCCTCCGTACCCTCCCCTCCTCCCACAGTTCCCCCCTAAATTTAGCTGGAAAATCGACGCCACATGACCTCAACACCAATTCAGTTCCCCCACTAAATTCAGCGGGTGAAACGACGTCACATAACTTCGTGTCCCGTCACTCATTAAGAAATTCAGTTTCTCCGCTAGATTTAGCAAAACACTTACGTCACGCAACCTCAACACTTATTCAGTTCCCCGCTAAATTTAGTGGGGAAACTGAATCGGAGTTGGGGTCATGGGACGGCAGTTTTACCGCTATATTTAGCGGAAAAACTGAATGCGCAGTGTTGCATTATGGGGCGTCAGAGACCTACAGATCAATTCAGTTTCTTCGCTAAATTTAGCGGGAAATTGAGTTGGTGTATAGGTTCGTGACGTCCTATAATGTAGTGCCCGCGGTTACGTCGACGCCGTTATACGCGGAAACAGGCGCCAAAAACCTGCGCTCCAAAAAACGCGTAGACACGCTTAGGTAAAATATTTTTCTTTCTGGGTGATAGAAAAAAATTAAGATACAGGCAAGCTGATAAACATTGCATATCTTGAACACCCGAGACTTAGGAACAAGAAAAGTGGACAACACAAACACCAACACACACACAGACATACATCTCAAAAACAACTGTTGTGTTTGAGACCTGTGTGTATGTTGTACACTTTTTTTTTTCTCGTGTGTTCAAGATGTTGAATTATTTCTGCGTGCGATGAAATCCGTTGAAGCCGGACTCTAGGAAGCAAATATGCGGCGAACAACCGACAAGGTTCGCCCGATGAATCGTTCGGTTTGTGTGCGGCGCCCGTGTAGCCACTACTCCGACGCCAGGGCGCTCGGAGCGGATCGACGCCGGGAACGAAATTCGTCGCTTTTTCGCAGCTTATTTGCTCCATGGAGTCCAGCCTTTTTTATGTCTTCTCAGACACAGACGCGCCGGTATCTTCTCTTCTAAAGCGTAAGATATCTTGTTTAGACACCCAATCGTCGCACATTAATGTCAGGGCTATCCTATCATGAACGCGTCCTGCGTTGCGCTGTCCGCGGGATGTATAGGTCCGCGGACATTATGAGCTGAAAAACACCAAATCCGGCGTTTTTTCTGCCTTTGGGGCCTCCACAACCTCTATTATCACTTAATCCGTTAAATAGTCCGAAGCATATAGGAGCTCAACTTCGCGTTCCATTCCCGGTTCGGACAGCAGGCGTCTACAAAACTGGCAGGTACGCCAAAGAAGCACGAAGGACTGTTTCTGTTCATATTGTCCGCGATAGTGCTATAGTCTGTTGCGGGTAAAAATAACAGCAAGTTAAGCTCTTCCCACGAAGCGCTCCACCCTTTCTACCTTCGTCTTCAACCCTCACGCCCTAGACAACAAGGCGCGAGGGTTGAGGTCTCTACGTCACCTAAAGAGGCCAACGCGGGGCACGGATGAAACGCGAGTGCTGCGTCAGCGTTGGGCCGGAAAGATTCCCGGTGTGACGAGATAGGCCTTCAATTTTGGGCTCGTGACAATCAATGTCTCGACATTCATTCGGGTGGCGACTCGTGCCCAGTCGCTGGGATGACGGGAAGAGCCGAACCTTAACAAGGCGCGGAACTCGGCGCGCACCCTGTGCTCTGCCATAGCCTCCTCTATATACTGACAAAACCTGGCAGATCGCCTCGAGAAGCGGCCACCCGAATGGAAAGGGTGAAGCGGCAGACAACGGATGAGAGGAGAGCCACGTGACTGCCTCCCCACTGCGGCGAGGAGCCGAAACACACTTCTCCCGAGCGAAACAAGTGTGTTCCGGGTCCTTGCCGCTGCAAAAGCCGTGCGCTGGCGTCCAGGTTCCCCTTCAAATGGCTCTGTGGTGATCTGTGCTACCAGATCCTCGCGCTCCAAATCTGCGAACGCGCACCCATGGCTCCGTCGTCGAACTGCCAGGCTTTATGAGTATAGAGGAGGCCACGGTTAGGCGAAAGCTTACGCGGTATTCGCGTTCAATCCCCGCTCCCGTGTTGGGCTCTTCGGGTGACGTAGGTCTCTTAGCCCTCCGGCCTCGTTGCTTTAGCCGAGCAAACGCTGGAGCGGAGGCGATTGAAGAGAAGAAAACCATTAATCATAGGGAGCAGAGATCTTTGTGTGAGGGTCTCGCCTTCCTGTTTTTATGCTGCGAGATACTTTAATTTAATTCCCCCGCATGATGTTTTATAGTCACCGATAAGAATAGAACGGCAGGGTGGGGCTTCAGTTGTCTCGCTCCCAGCGCGTGCTCCCCAACTTCGACTACGCTCCGGCGTCTCGCGCGCGAAGTCGCGAAGCACGATGGAAGGCACGGAGCGTGTGCCGGGGGTCGGCCGTTCGAAACACGCACCGCCGTGCCGTTCTTACTCCTCCGGTAACTGACGTTGTTCGATTAAGTTTTCTCTCACTCCATGCAGCCATTCCACTCTGCGGGGAAGCCGAATTCCGGTGCATCAACGGCGGCTGCATCTCAATCGCCTGGCGGTGTGACAAGGACATCGACTGTGTGGACGGTTCCGACGAAGGAGGTTGCACGGGTGAGCGGGCGTGTCTCTCTGCGTGACCGGCTCACTCAAAAAACCACGCCCAAACAACAGCGAGCGTAGGGTCGCCGAAATGGAAAAGGTGAAGCGGCAGACAACGGACGAGAGGAGAGCCACGTGACTGGCGCCCCGCTGCGGCAAGACGCCGAAACACATTTCTCCCGAGCGAACAAGTGTGTTTCGGGTCCTCGCCGCTGCCCGTCACGGCGCATTTACTGCGCGTGACGGGCAAACGAACTGAGACCACGTGGGCCATGACGGTGCACTTTTGCGGCGCTGTTTGATTGGCTCCTTCGGATGGCGTTGGCTGCGCCCGGACTAAAAGGCTGCTTTACGCAGCACCGGTTTCTTACGGCCCACCATTCAAGCAGGAGTGGTTTCCCTTGCGTTATCTTAAAGTCGCAAAACATATTGGTGCCTCCAATGTCGCCTGCTGGTTTGCGCCTTGAACCGGTTGTTGCGCTTCATTCGAAGCGCAGGTGTCCCGGTGACACTCGAAGTAAGCCGACATAAGCTCGTGTAACCTAATGCGACGTAAAAGACCGGTTAAGACGTTTGCAACGGTTGCGTTCGCAGCAAGAAAAACGACAGAAACGACCTTAACAACCGAGTCACTCATGATCGCTCCGCGAAGCTACACCTTGCATCGCTTGCCGCGTTGTCTACGGCTAACAATTGCCCCGGTTATTTTGTCCATGCTGTTGTTGGCGACTACTGCGAACGCAACGGACACAAACGTGTGAGCCAGCCTTAAACGTTGCTGCGTGAGCCGGCCTAACGTATACGCTTACGTCAGGATACGTCCGTAAGTCATGGACACATCCCTGGTTCGTACCAAGCGTTGCAACTAGGACTGGGCAATTCTTGATTAATTAAACTACCGTTAAATCGAATAATGCTTTAATCGCGATTAATCTTTTTTTTTAACCGGGTTATAGATAAACTTTTGAAAAACTAAGAAAAACAAAAGTACAAATTCTAGACACGTGTATGGAGGGCAAAGTTTAGCCTAGAGTAACTTGTTGGAGCAAAATTTGTAACTTTAGACAATTGCAGAAAGTTGCATGTGCCTCGCTAACTTCAACGCCGTTCGAGTGTCTGTTTAGCGCCGCAGAGGCTGTTGCGAACAATCAAGGGAGGTCGCTCTTGCCAGAGAATATCAACGAACCTGTTAGCTTCATGCGGTTGAAGTAATAATCTGTGAGTGTGTCTTTGAGCTGTTCTCAACACATCAAGATTGATTCGAAAAAAAAAAAGTATATTGCGCCGTATGTCACATATTCAGCAAAGGCAAACTTGTTATATATATATTTTACATAAATATGAACGAGACCGATTAATCGATTAATTCATCGATTGAAGTGTCACTATTTATTGGGTTAGAGGTTTTAATTGACGCCCTGCCCTAGTTTCAACCAGTTAAAGGGGTAGCTTGGCACGCGGAATGCAAAGTACGAACGTGCCGGCAACTTGAGGTCGTATATCGACGTAAGCGTACGCAAGCTTCGTAGCGTGCAAGAAAACCTTACTGTGGGAACCGGCTTTTGGCGTAAAAGGAAATATAGCAGGGACGCCCAAATTATGGTGACCGCCCATGCTGCTCGAAAGGAATTTGTCTGCGATCCCCACACAATATGTCGCGTTCGTTTCAGCGTTCACGTCGGCAATCTGCCTGGCCGAGGATTTCGAGTGCCGAAGTGGTCGTTGCGTCGGCGGGGCCTATCGCTGCAACGGAGACAACGATTGCGGCGACTGGTCGGACGAGGAAGGCTGTGGTATGGGACATACACCACTTACAATCTAGCCTATAGACGAAATGATCTGTGAGTCGAGATTCTTCGAGTTATTTTGTCTTTCTTCGTGTTTTTAAACGTGGCTGTTAAGTGCCACAGGTGCTCAAAGAAACGCGTGTACGCGTTTTACCCAGCGTCGGATGGGTAAAACGCGTACAATGTTTTTTTTAGGCATCGAAATCGAAGACTGTCTGCCCCAATTGCTCTCTTAATGCCATCCACGAACTGAACGCAAATTGGAAAACCTGCATGGGCCCTTATGGGGGGTGCAAAATAAGCCTCGTTGCGTTGAAATCACCTGGCCAGACATACTGGTGCTTTGGGGCATCCATTGTTGTTTGGGGAGCGCGACAGCGTACGTAACTTCCGCTGCACTGAACGTATGGTTCTGGACAAACTGTGACGGGTGGAAGCGCTACACATGACCCACCCAGAAGGCCATGTCAACACCACCTAGGATACTCGAAGTAGATGCAATAGAGCTCTGACGTCATCACACTGAGATGGAGCGCAGACACTGATTGGACACGAGCGCCGAAACAGCGTTCGGCGGGGTTTCGTGCCCAATGAATGCGTCAAAGGACGCTCGGCTTTGGGCTGGGGCCCAATCGCCGAGTTGGCGCAGTCCTAGTGTGACGACGCTACGTTAATATAGAGGAGGTAAAGCACCTGCATATACAAAAGAACGTGATTCATCGTTCAAAATGCTCCTCCTCGCCGACGCCTTCACTCGAAATGGTGGCCTCCAGAGAGAGAGAGAGAGAGAGAGAGAGAAAGGCTGGGAAAAAGAAAGGGAAGCGCCGGGGCCAATCACGCCATCAGGGGAGCGCACGTGATGTCGTTATTGACCGCCGTCTTGGCTCACAAATGGCGTCGGGGAGCCGGAGAGAGAGAGAGGTGGTAGGAGAGAGAAAATGGCGTTACTTTTATCGTTTCATAGGGGCTTTTAAAGACGGCTGTTCCCACGGGCTTTGAATGATCTAGGTTTGGTTCCGCGTATTCTGTGCGCAACTCGCTAGAAGGCCCTTCCCGCCGTCGTCTTGCAGAGGGCAAGAGCGCGTGCCAGGAGGGCGAGTTCCGCTGCGAGGACGGCTTCTGCATCAACCTGGACTGGAAGTGCGACGGGGACGCCGACTGCGACGACCACTCGGACGAGCGCGACTGCGCGCCCAGGCAGTGCGCCCCGCACGAGTTCCAGTGCCACTCGGGCAAGTGCATCCAGGCCGAGTGGCGCTGCGACGGCGACTTCGACTGCTCGGACAACAGCGACGAGGACGGATGCGGTAAGGGGCCTTCAATTCTGTATGAGTGTCATGACGTAAATATTAGGCTATTTGTTGTTATTTTTCTTGTTTGTGTGTGTGTGTTTGGGGGGGGGGGGGGTGAGTATTCGTTATGTGGCATACGCGTTCAATTCAAGTATCAAAGAAATATATATATACACTTTAAAAAAAATCCCGTGCGTCTACTTTCCCACACAACACTTGAAGAGCCAATCACAATAACTTACGAAGGCAGCTCAGCGAATGACGATGCCGAAACATATGTTTAGACTAAAAAATGCACTCTGAGTTGTGACATTAAGCAATGCAAAACGTCACGCTTGCATTGCTTTATGTCACAACTCAGACTGCGTTTTTTGGTCTAAACATATGTTTCGGCATCGTCAATCGCTGAGCTGCCTCCTTAAGTTATTGTAATTGGCTCTCCAAGTGTTGTGTGGGAAAGTAGACGCACAGCCTTTTTTTAGAATGTGTATATCTTGGGGGAAGTTAATTTTAACATGGACGGCAGCAAAAGGTGTTGGCGTGAATTGCTCCCTACTCTTGAATGTGGCTCGGCTGCACGGACGGTCTGAGCTGGTAGCACCAACCAGAGCTTCCAGCCAAGACTTGTACACGCTTACAGCTTCCCTCTGTGTTACGGTGTCTCAGAGTCATAGGGTGACAAGAAAATCAACCTATTTTTCTAGGACCAGAGGTGGCCTGTGAACCAGGCCATTTCCGCTGTCTCGATGGCACCTGCATCGTGGAACGGCTGGTGTGCAACGGAGTTCCGGACTGCCCGGATCGGTCGGACGAATCACAAAACACCACCTGCAGTAAGTATTTTCTCTATCCTCTTTCACTTAGCCCCTCCGTTCACAGATACTCCTGTTATACCGGGTGTTGGCAAGAGAAAAGTAACTTGTTTTTATTTTTCTTAGCGCAAAAATTAAACAATGCGTCGCTGTACGCTTAGTCGCCAACCACATGTAGCCCAAGCGGTTGGGACCCGGTGGTCTCATCCGCTAGGGTTACATTGATTGATTTCGCGTTTCAAAACTCTTTGCTCTTTGCTCAAATATGAAATGCGGCTCATGGCATATGGTGCGTCTGAGTGAGGCCAGATGTCTAGATCGTCTGGGACATGCGCGTTTGCTGGAAACTGCAGAGATTTCAAAAATAAATAAATGCACCGTCGTTGCCGTTTTCCACTGACTCGACAGAAAGCAGCACGCCCTGTCGGGAGGACGGCTTCCCGTGCCAACATCAGTGCATGGCTACGGCCACCGGGCAGAGATGCTCGTGCAAGGAAGGCTACCAACTGGCCCCTGACGGACGCTCCTGCCTCGGTGAGTAGCATCCCACCTTCCGGTGAGGAGCTGCTTCGTCTTTTTATGCAGGATTGCATTCTAACGGAAGTAAACTTAAAAGAAAATCGTGAACTTTTTGTGTGTTTAATTAAGGAGATTGGATTTGTTTGATTTAAATAACTTTAATAAGATAGAAGGAATTTTTGTCATTAGAAAAGATGTAGAATGGTTGCCTGATACTACAGGGTGTCATAAAGAAAGATTTACAAGGTTTTTTTCACCACAAAAGTAAACTAGGCATCGCCGAACCCTCATTCTCCGCCCAAAGGTAACGCTAGAGGTCACAACCAGATGCCAAAGTTTCAGCCCGATCCGATACCTTATTCAAAAGTTACGTGATTTTCTGAAAAGTTCAATGGGAAAATGGCTGTCGACGGGGTTTTTGAATACATGGGGCTCTATGGGCGCCAGAAACCGAAAACGGGCAAAAATGGGCTTCATTTTCTCATTGAAATTTTCAGAAAACCACTTATAACTTTTGGATAAGTTATCGGATCAAACTGAAACTTTGGCTTCTGGTTGTGACCTTTAGTGCTATCTTTGGGCGGAGAATGAGCGTTAGGCGAGGCCTAGTTCATTTTTGCGGTAAAAAAAAAAAAAAAACTGTAAATTTTTCTTTGTGACACCCTGTATAAATAATTTTTCGCTTGATAAGTCTGCTTTAAATACAAAATAAAGGAAAATGTAAAGCATAAAATAATAGGCAAAGAGTGAACATTAAAAAAAAAATTCGCAATTTTTTAAGCATCCCCCCCCTAAAAAACAGAATCCCTTTAGATTTTTTAAAATTGCGTGGGAACTGGGTTTGGCCTAAATCACCATAGTCAACTTAGTTCTATTTAAACCACCATATAAATCATTATTTTAATCACGATCTAAATCATCTTGAATTTTTATTCTCCGCCCTAAACGGAAGCTATATTTCATGTTTTTCTGTGACGTGACGTTACCATGCCGCGTGATGTCGGGTGGCACTGCCGCGTGACGTGAGCTCACTTGAAACCATGATTTCATGCCGTGAGGTGACGTGGCCACGTAGCGTGGCGTCAGTCACGCAAATTCAGTTACGTGATTTGTGAACCATGGCTTTACGTTATGACGTGACTTGCAACGTCACGTTATGTCAAGTCATGTGACGTGGCGTCACTTAAGATCATGACTTTACACGTTGGCGTCACGTCAGCTGACGTCACGTGACCTGGTGTCACGTCACGTCAGCTGACGTCACGAGATGAATCAGAGTGTGTCAATAAAAGAAGCCATAAAAAGACATCGCCTTACTGCAGTTCTTCACACGACGGTTTAACCAATAGATCGCAATATAGCTGCCAAGTTTTACTTGACAGTCTCTTCCTTCCTGCGTAAAATTTGAGCTTTATTCAGTCCTGCAAATTTCCGAATTCCTTGAAATTCTTGGTTTAGTTTCGATGTTTTGCCGTCCAAGCTGCCATACTTTGGGAAAGTCGCACTCTCTTAGGCAGTCGGGTACCCATACTTTCAAATATTTCAAATTACGTTAAATTGGCTCAATTTTGCGAAAATCGAGGGATCGTGTATTGGTGAAACAATTGCTACATATATCTCTTAAATATTCTATTTTGCAACTCTTTTTTCTAATACATCTTCTAGAAATAAAAAATCGTTTAGAAAATTTGAGTTTTTTTATGTTTCTTAAATGCAAGATTGTCCAACACGTGCTCCTTTTCTGTTTTCAGATGTCGACGAATGTACCTACGAAGGAACGTGCAGCCAGTCCTGCGTGAACACAGTTCCCAGTTTTCAGTGTCTCTGTAAGCAGGGCTACAGGCTTCGAGATGACAAGCGACACTGCAAGGCACAAGGTACACAGCATTTACCTTCCTTGTGGCTGAGTACACTTATAATAAATGCCTTCATTTGGAAACCTGGTTTTTAGTATAGTTTGCAGTAGGAATGGAATCGCTTACATGTGCAAAGTCTGCAGGAAATAAGGTTGTTTAGAAGAGTGTTTGAGATAACAAAAGTCTGTTTGAAATAAAATAACTTTGAAATGTTTTGTCAGCTATTGATTGGATGACACAACATTTCATAAATGTTACAGAAATGTGATACTATGACTATCTTGCATCTATATCATAATTTAATTTCTAGTTTATTTTTCTAGTTTTTTTATTTAAAACACTAATCATTAGCTACAGGGGCACGTAACTGAATTTATATTTAAAAAAATTAAGTCCGCGAATTTAGCCAGATTCGAACTGGGCCAATTGAAAAAAAATGAATATCACCACTCTACCGATTAAAAAAACAAGAACAAAAAACAGACAAACAAAAAACGTGGAGCATACATTTGAATTGTTTGGAAAAATCTGTGAAAGATTTCTCTAATTCTTTTTTTACACTGAAGAAATCCCAAATCGTTGGAGAATCCTTCGGGAATGAGATAAATCAGGCCGATACATCCGCTACACAACAGGATCCTATAGACCTATAACGAATTAAGGGAAGGATAACAACCTTACTTGACATTCCGATTACAATCCTCTGCTGTGTAAGAGTTTGCGTCAAACAATTGCTGTGTGATTTTTTTATACATTATTTCGGCTGACCGACGCATAGTTTGAATAGCATTTATGCTTTCAACAAGGATGATTCTAACCCTACACAAGGAACTTTCACCAGTAGAACAGCAGGCGCTTATTACACTGCAGGGTACTTCAGTTTAAGTCAGACTTTTTATGAAGTCAAGTGTTCTTCAGGTAACAGTGCTGAACACCACGGTACAATTAACAAAATATTAAAGCATAAAATGCTCTCCTATGTAACCACCTCGTCTCTTGGTGTCAAAAAAGAAAGCGTTTGAAGAAGTGTTTTAAAATTATGTGTACGCAGACTTGGCTAGGTACCAAGTTGATTTCACATCTCGGTCCAGCTTCATCGTTGAGTCATCCGAAGGCACGCCTTAAGCACGTTTGAAGCCGTGTTCGCTTCGTATGTATGTAATACTTCGAACATGTCCACAGGCAGTACTTGTACGGTAACTCTGACAAGCCAGTTATGCAGGGAAGAATCACGCCTAAGACGGTGTCTACAAACTGTCTTTGCATTAGCTGTGTGACCGTGCAAGCTAGCCATTAACCAAATATTTTATTTTTGTTTTTTTTACTTTGTCCTCCCCCAAAAAAGGTCCAGAAGCGTACGTAATCTTCGCCAATGGAGCCGACATCCGGCGCATCACCATGGACAAGTCCGAGTACACCTCCGTCGTCGCCAAGCTTCAGAACGCGGTGGCGCTCGACTATCACTTTACGCTCGACCTGGTGTTCTGGTCGGACATCACGGTCGACGTCATCCGGAGCTGTAGCCTGACCAATGGCACCGACCTCAGGACGCTCGTCTCGCGAGGCCTGGCCAATCCTGGCGGACTTGCGGTTGACTGGATCATGAACCGCGTCTACTGGACTGACTCCGGGACATCTCGTGTGGAGTCTGTGGATTTGGACGGCCGGAACCGGCGAGCCCTCGTCTGGAAAGACCTGGACAAGCCTCGTGCCATCGTGCTTTACCCTCAGCTGTCGTAAGTGCCCTCTCGTTCAGGGGTACTCTTGAGTTTCCGATGCCTCGTAGTTCAGGAAACTCTATGTAGCCTAGCATTGTTGTCATGAATCATTCATAAATTCATTTAAAGAATCTTTGTCTATTTTGATTAAAGACATCTAGAACTCTGTATACTGTTTGCAATGACAGTTCATAGTATGCCTTAAAAGTGTACTCTTACGGTGATAGTCAGATGTCCCCTTTATAAAAAGTGCATAATAGTTTATTAGTTTTTGCATTCTTCCTAACTCAATGGATTCATAGCGTCTTAATTGCCGCAATATTTCTGGTGCCCACAGTCAAACCACAAGGGGTTATCGGAGTTCGCAATGTTTTTATCTGCTGCTTGCAGCTTGTTCAAGTCAGTAGGAAATTTGGTTAGCACTGCATTTTGTTAGCGTGGCATCATGTAACATTATTTGTTCATGTTTTGTTTTAGTAGTTGCATTCCAATTCGCACTGTAGTAGTTTGTATTACACTTATGAGAGTACGTGAGCAGTGAAATAATGAATAAAAAATTTAAGTTCTGTACTAGTCAGTGAGACGTAGAATGAAAAGCAACAGGCGATAGAAGGTAGTACTGAAAAAGAGCTTTCCTGGAAGCCTTCAGAATTCAACACATTGCTTACAGAAGCGCCGTCCTGTGGAATCTGACCTCTTCGATAGATGCTAACTCTCATTAGATACTCTCTCTGATGTTCACAAATATTCGTCTGCTAATAAAATGTTTTTTTGTTTTTTTTCTTTCTGTGCATTGTGTACCAGGACTGTCTACTGGACAGACTGGGGGGCACGACCACGGATCGAACGGATCTACACCGACGGTTCGGACCGAAGATCAATCGTGGACACATCCCTCTTCTGGCCAAACGGATTGACCATTGACTACGCCAGTGATCGCATCTTTTGGGCAGATGCCAAACACCATCAGCTGGAGAGTGCGGACCTCGACGGCAGCAATCGCAAGAAGCTTATTGAAAGCGGTCAGTGCTCTCCGCGGCTCCACCTTTTTTGCAGAGGATCGCGTTTCAGTTTGGTAAATATATATAGACCAACCTGCTGTTTACAATCAACTCCGCCCTTGCCCACAACAGCTGTGGACACTGTGCGGGCGCGGAAACCGGTCTTCAGCACGCGTTCCATGCCTTCCGTCGTGCTTTGGCTGCGCGGGCGCTCGCTCGCTCGAGGTGCACGTGACGCCGAAGCATTGTAGAAGGCAGGAAGCTCGCGTCTGAAGCTCCTCCCTGCCGTTTTCGCCTTGCCAGTGACCATAGGAAGTTATTTGTAAGAAGTCCTACTTAAGTAAAGTATAATCCTTGTGAAATGAAGACTTTTATGGTGGCTTACCTCACAGCCTGGCAAGCGTACCGCAAATGCAATTTACCTCAAGAATGGGTAGCTTGTAATGCTGGTATATTGTGTACCTGTATTCAAACTGGTACCTGAGGTCTCCATATCATCAAACTAGTAATTCGTCAGCTATTTAAAAAAAAGGATACAAAACTGCGTTCACTGCAGTACGGGTGTAATATTATATAAAGCAAAAATAGGATTTGATTTGCTATACACGACATATCAAAGTTGTGGTAAGCTAACTTAGAGTGATGGCACAGATATTGAATATAAACACGCTGATACGGTAATTTTTGCTTGAATCATCTTGTGTTTAAGAGTAGAACCAGATGCATCATGACATTTTATTGCATGAGCTATTTATTTCACATTGACAATTTTTAAGCAGACGTTATAAAAGTACGCGCATAGACATACTCCCTCGAGACGTAAATTTTTGCTCAATTGAATACGACAAAATTATCATAACCTTTTGTTGCATATAGGTACATACACTTTCAGTGTAGGGAAATCAAGCGAATATGAAGTTCTTCTCTTTTTATTTTAACAATTTTTTTAAAAGACCTCCGAAACGAAAAAAAAAATAAAAGTCTAATTGGGACACGCGTGTCAAAAAATAAATTTTACGCGAAAAAAAAAAAAAAAACATTCTGAAAGCAATATTGACGGTGCGATACGCGATTATGTCGATAGTCACCTCCTTTTCACTTGTCTTTGATCTCGGCATTTCAGGCGCGTGGAGGAGAGGTGGATCAACTTGGTTATCACATTGAGCTGATGAGAGTGTATGACAAATCTTATTGAGGTGGAAAGAGTGTATGACCATTCCGTGACGTCATTGACTTTGCGCGCAGAGTTTAAAACGAATCTGGCGCTGTCAATAGTACTTTTTGACACGCGTGTCCCACCCAGACTGTTAATTTTTTTTTTCTTTTTATGGGCTTTTTAAAGGCGTAGTAGCAAAACTTGTCGGGCTATAGTTGGTTCAGGGTACTGAAAACAAGTATGTGCAAACCAAGCACGTAGCTGGGGAGGGGGGAGACGAGACCACAGCAAAATTAAAGAAATCATGGGGGGAAGGCCCGGGCCCCAAGCCTCCCCCCTCCCCCCCCCCCCCCCCCCCCCCCCCCCTGGATACGTGCCTGGTGCAAACACAGAGGACGAACGCGAAGGAGTGGACAAGGAGGAGCGCAAGCTCTTGTCCACTCCTTCGTGGACCTGCCCTTAGCACCATCTGCACCTGCACCTAGCACTAACAATGACCTTTTAGATGTTCAGCGTCTCGGCAGTGACTGCGAGCTTGAGTCAGTCTCAGCACTATTATTTTGCGCGTGCCACCATTTGCTCCTTTATTAAATCGCAATGTGACATCGAGTGCACAAGATGGTAAGCCTGAGAAGCGCTTGTTAAACATATTTGTTTTCGCTTGAACAAAGAGCAAGTTTCCAAATTTAGCTACATCCTGATCTTCCTTCATCTGTCCAACAAGGTCTGCCCCATCCATTTGCGGTGACAATATTCGAAGACACGTTGTACTGGACCGACTGGCAGACCAAGAGCATTCATACAGCCAGCAAGTTCGGGCATCAACAGCCATCCGTCCTGTACCCCAAGCTTTCATACCCCATGGACATTAAAGTGGTTCAAAGTCTGCGCCAACCTGAAGGCAAGTTTTGCAGCTCCCTGCATTCTAAACACGTCTCAGCACTCACGGCAACATTGTTGTGTGGCGTATAATTAAAATAACGCATTCTTAATAATTCGCCTAGTTCGCGAGGAACAAATTTGCTACTTCTGAACTGCCCTTGCTCCCAGAATGCTTTCCACACATACGCACAATATTATAATACATTCGTGAGGAGTGTTTTTTTTATAATAATATTATAAATAATAATAATATATTATTAATATTAATAATAATAATCATCTTTTCTGAGTGGCTCGCAAGACTAGGGAGATAGTCGGGCGCTCAAACGTGTGAGCGTCTGCTAGCCAGCCATAGTGAGGTATGCGGAGTGCAAGTCATCTGCATCTTGCGCAGGAGTTGTAGTGACGTCAGAACGACACCGACCTCTGATTCGCTTTGATTGAAAGGATAGTGGGTAGACCTCAATGCTAGATGCATTGAGGTCTATGGACTACTTTTTTATCAGCCAATAAGAGCTCGGCGTTCTGACGTCATGGCAACCCCTGTGCAAGAAGCAGACGAGCTTGCGCTCCGTATTGCGAGCACATTCACAGAACAAAAACACAAGCCCTTTTGGTAGCACGTTAGTATATATACTATTAATATTTTACTTTATCCTCAGGAATGAATCCTTGCACAATTGTCGCCAACAAATGTAGCCACATCTGTGTTTCCAACAACGAAAGTGCCACATGTGCCTGTCCAAGTGGATTGAATCTTCTCCAGGATGGGACTTCCTGCATGGAGAGTAAGTAGCGTGCTTACAAAGACACTTTAAATTAAAACTCCGGTCGAAAACGAAACCAAAATAAATCGCTGATATCGCTTTAGTGGCACGAAATATAATCCCAGCCGAAATATTACGTCATAGTGAAACCGCGTATTCCACTAAAACTGATTTTAAAGATGCGACCAGCTGATCTTTAGCGTGTAGTATAAGTGGGTTACCTTTTAGTTAAGGAACCCTGGGCGACGCGTACCGCAGCACCACGGTGACGTCACGTCGCGTCTATGGATATGAATATGAAAATGGATATCGCGACTAACCGCTTTGTATCGGGGGATGCCAGCTTACTGAATCTAGCCAATTTATCTGTTAATTAATTCTTGGTTTCTCTTCCACCAGTGGTCCAGTCTTCTTTTTTTCCACTCCACCAGGCTGCGGGCCCCTGCCCATGGCGCTATCGGCGCCGTCGTTGCCTCTGTCGTAAATTAGATGATCAGTGTTGCCATCCCTCTAGCAGAGGGTTTCGGTTTCGCCGGAGACGCCCGAAACCAAACTTTGAGCCGTGATATTTATAAAACTATACACAATATTTAGAGAAAAAAATTATACCTAATAACTGAGGGACAGTGACAGCTGAAAACAATTGTAAGCCCAAATTCGGAGAATTACTAATTTCCCCCTTCATGTGGATAATTAAGATATATGTAGGTAATTTGTTTTCCCTCCGACAGCCAAATCTCACAAGAACTACTTCGCGCCGCATTTGAACAGTGCGCAAAACTTGCTCTTTTTCTTGAGATGAAATCGGATATAGGGAGTATTCACTGGCGGCCTTATCCGTGCGTGCTGCTGCTGAGCGCGTGCTGACGGCGAGCTTCCGCAGTCCTTTTGGAGCGTGCATTTAGCACCATCAAGGTCGCCGGTCTTAGCAGGCTATTAATGTGGGCTCGTTCTGAGCATGCGCTCTAAACATCGCCCTAAGGCATAGTGTCGAGTGAATACCTTCTATGCGGAGGGCAAGTTCGTCTGCTCCTTGCGCAGGGGGGAGCGGTGATGTCAGAAGGCCGAGCCCTGATTGGCTGATCGCGACCCCCTATCTGAGCGTCGTCTGCTCCTTTGCAACGTCGTCTGCTCGCAACGTCGTCTGCGTCTGTCTTACCTTTCCTGCGACTTTCGAAAGTGCGGAGGCAGGTTCACAAAACGATCTTACGCCAGAAATATGCGTACGACAGAACTTGAGAACAAATTCGTATTCACGAAACGAAATTTTCGTAAGTTTTGCGCAGGCGACGAAATCCTACGACAGCTCCGAAGCTCTCTTAATCTAATCAGCATGGCCGACAGCGTCGCGGTCGCGACGACCAACGGACGTTTATTTTTTTACGTGCGCTTCTCACGCGTCCCAACTTCAAGCAGCAAGAATAAAGTAAAAAGTACTTGAAACAGACCACGACGAACAAGAACGCTTGATTCACAAACACCCGGGAAAAGCTCCAACGGCCACGATTCCACCGACAACGACCAAGCGAGCACGGCAGATAGGCCTAGCAGGCACTCCGACTCGGCGACCGTCTGCTCACGACCGGCTGGCGTGTTGAATGGAATATGCCCGCGCGACCCTTGTGAACCCTTCAACCTCAATTTTAGATTAAGAGGTCAATCTCTTCCTCGTGTCATCTCCTTCTTTTCCGAGGCAACGGTGACTCTCGCCGGTAAAAAAGCGGTGAATCTCCGACAGACGCAGGAAAGGTAAAGCAGCCATCGCTTTGACTAGCAGACGTAAAGCAGACGACGTTAACTGCGCCAACCCGCCGACGCCGTTAAAGAGTGAGAAGTCTCGCCGCACACGAAAGGAGGGAAAAAGTATTTGGGAGGGAACTTGCGGACACTAACTACTCTCACCTCTCGGTTCTTAGCAGACAAACCAAGGCGCCTCGGGACACCTCGCCAGTGAGTCCTTTGACTTCCCTCCTTGATGAGCGTCTACTACTTGTTAGACAAAAGCAACGTACCGCTCGAGTTATTTTGTCTGCCCTCTCTAAAAGGCGAAGTCGAGCTCGCTCGTAAAGACCTGCACTTCCGAAAGTCGCAGGAAAGGTAAGACAGACGCAGACGACGTTGCGAGCAGACGACGTTGCAAAGGAGCAGACGACGCTCAGATAGGGGGTCGCGATCAGCCAATCAGGGCTCAGCGTTCTGACGTCATGGCTACTTCCCTTTTCATGCGCAGAAGACGAAAATGAGCCCACTTGCGAGGCGTATAGGAGACAAGGCCCGCGCATTGTGATTGTTAATAGTAGTGGTGTCGCGAACTTTTGTCGACTTCAATTTTGACTTCGAACCTTAAGGCTCGACTGGTTTACCGAACCTTCGACCTTTCACAAAGGTTCAAGAGAAGTTCGACTTATGGACAGTGTTGACCGGCTGCTACACGGATATTTCGAATTTTGGGGAACAAATAATTGAGAAAGTAGTTTATTTTATATTTTATAAAATGGTTACCGATGTTTACACCATAAAGAAGCAAAAATATGCGCTTTTAATGCTTTTGTTAGTTGATAATGTGAACCAGTGATGCCAATACGCCCAACAAATATTGCACTTTTCTTCCGCCAGGAGAAGTCAATTTGTTTTGTTTTTTTAGTTTTCGTGCATGCGCACAAAAGGCGGACTTAAAGGGGTACGGAAACGAAATTCCAGCGCTCATTTTCTAGCTTAAATGTGTTGCATGTTGCAGCATAACCTCAAAAACACCAGTCTTTCGTCGAAAGGCACAAGAAAACTAAATTTGAAGCTAATGCAACGATCTTTCAATGTGCACCTGGTGGATGCCTATGAAACTTACTTGAGAGGTAATCTAGCAACATTGGGCATCTTGCTACGTAGGTCATGACGTTGCAAGAACCGAAACATAGTCGCACTAAACATCGGAGCAGCGCCGCTCTTTGGAAATAAGCTCAACTGTTTAATTTTAGAGCCCAAATCTCAGGCGCCCGTTTTCGGCTTGAGCAGCGTCGCCGTCGGCGTCGGCGTAACTGTCCGGTGCATAGTGGGTAAATTTTCCCGCTAAATTTAGCGGAAAATTTTCCCCACTAAATTTAGCGGAAAACTTTCCCCGCTAAATCTAGCAGAAACCTTCACCCGCTAAATTTAGCGAAAAATTATCCCCGCTAAATTTAGCGGAAAATTATCCCCGCTAAAATTAGCGGAAGAATTTCCCCGCTAAATTTAGCGGAAAAAATTCTCCGCTAAGTTTAGTGGAAAAAATTCACCGCTAAATTTAGCAGAAAATTTCCCCGCTAAAGTTAGCGGAAAAAATTCCCCGCTACATTTGGCGGAAAACTTTCCCCGCTAAATTTAGCCAAAAATGTCCCCGCTCGTGGAAAAAAAAAAAAGAAAAATTTCCCCGCAAAATTTAGCAGAAAATTTTCCCAGCCAAATTTAGCGGAAAAACTTCCCCGCTAAATCTATCGCAAAATTTTCTCCTGAATGGGGGCCGAGCGAAAGAGGAGGAGGGGCATAGCCCCCTCTCTGTACCTTTCCTTCCTCCTCCTCAAGAGCTGCGCTCTAATTCGGCGTTACAGGGAGTTGTAAACGGCCTTCATTTTTCAACTTGTTCCTTCCTAGTTTTCCTCCTCAACTCACAAATCGCACATTGTACCAAACAGTTCAAGAAGACCGAAAGTTAGGACTCTCCGCTCACGGACCCTCGTTTGTGCACCCAGAAACAAGCCATTCTCCCCCTAGAAGATTAGCCCGTCGCTCAAAACTCGGACAAAAGTTGCTTTCCCCACCCCGTTCACACTTAAGCTGACAGTGCTGTGGAAGCTAAGTGCTCCTTGGGCCAGCCACACGCTCGTCACCCCACGGGTACTTCGAGCTAGGGAACGGCTCGGTTGTAACGCGTAGACCGCGTTTCCCCCTCCGCAAAGCCCTCCGCAACGAAGGAGCCGCTACTGCGCCTGCGCGCCGATGGCTTTGGCTGTAGAGTTCCAGGTATCGTAGCGGGTTGCGAAGGAGCGTTGCGGGACGGCGAAACAACGCTGACAACGTCACCAACGGCGATGCCCATAACCACGCCGGCCTTTCTTCGTCACGAATGCGGGAATCATTTTTCTCTCTGCTTTTGTTTGCGCCGGATATGCCAAGACTAGGCTCCCGTGTTTTCGGAATTTATTTTTCGTCAAATTCGGAGGGTGTTTTTTGGAGTTTATTTTTTCCCCCGAAAATTCGGAGTTTATAGGAGTTTATTTTTGTTTGATTCCAAAATCTCCGAAATTCGGAGTTTAATTTCGCAGTGTTTCCTATGAAAAATAAATAAACATATATCCGGGTGTTAACGTATGATAGATAAAGAAAAATAAAACGCGTCTATATCAATTAATATTTCTTCAGCTGGATTTGGTGTTGGTACCATTGCCATTGGTATTACTAATTTCTCCCACAGCAAAAGTTGCACACATCTGTGGCTTTGATAAACGTCGATACCTTAAAAATAAACTTATGGAGGCAGTCGCTGGGAAGCTCGTATTCATACCGGCGACTAGAGAAAACTTCGGCGCGCACTTTATTGGATGAAATTTGGTGACGTCACGACCAATAGGAGCACGGAAACAGACGCGGTCTCCTCGGTCTCCTCAACGCCCGGAGAAACATCGGAAACATCGTGCCTGACGTATGTACCGTCGTCGAACGAAAGGTGGGTGGTTTGAGTTTTCCTGTGATGTGATCTCTATGTGTGTTCGTTCCAGGCGTCCGAGCTGTTTCTTAGTTTCAGATCTATTTGGCGCCGCTGCCTACATTGTTTGAGCCTGCGTTCACGATTAAAACAACCATCGCAGAAAGCTGAAAGCCCGCCGAAGAACGGCTGACTTGCGAGCTAAACCTAATTCAACAAAACCATTTGATCCGACAGAATAATGTGCTTGATCTTACATTTCATGTCAACAAAGAACTGCGCTGTCTGTCTTCGTCCCTACATGTTTTATTCTTTCGTGTTTTTTCAAATCTTTACCAACCCG